GTACAAAGTCAAAGTCAAATGCTCCATTATCCTTGGCTGGGGGGAAGGAGATTTGGACAACGCATCAGCCCGAAGCCCCGACACTACCTGAGCATTGCTTATCAGTTCCGCCGATGCTTGGCTACCAACCGCCTTGCTACTATTAGTCGGAAAAGCTCATCGCCGAGTCTGGCCAGCCCAATGAAAGTGCACCACGTCTTTTGCCACACCACCAACTTACCCCACGTCACTTCAAAGAACACTGTTAACCAAAGCTCTTAATTGGTCTCATGTTTCTGGTCACAGAGCCTGATATAAAACAACTCAAAAGAGATTCTACCCTCCTTGCCTTTGAAGTGGAAACTACGACGCCCTATTTACCGTCATTCGCCAGTACAGGGTGTTAGAGCTGACTATAATCATCGCACCATTAAGTGGCGGTCATCCGATCACGCAACTCTCACAGAACACAGGCTTTGTGGAAAGCTCAATTGACGTACTTATGAGAACGCCAGTAGTATTTGGCTATTCGCGTTTATTTTTTTTATTTTTTATTTTTTTTTGCGGTATGCATATGTATTGTACACTGGGCTACGATTGGCGGCAATCATGGGGTATCCTTCGTGTGCTTCGTACGACCTCCGAACAAACGGACGACTTGCGAAAGCTGCTCGTGAGCAGGAAGTACCATTTTGCACCAGTCGGCTCGGCCCTCATTCGTGCGTGGAAGCCGGACCGCCAGACGGGGCCTGGGCTGTTCTCTCACTCCCGTCTGTCTGTGGGGAACAAGCAGTCCGTCATGGGCGCCTCAGCCACCTGAAATATCCGCAATTATCGACGTGCAGACACACAAGGCGGGAACAATCATGATGGGCCCTCACGGCAAAACGACAGCTATCTCCGTCCTCTGGCCTGCCTGTTGGACAGACATTAAGAGTCAGGCATCACCGCAGGCTCTCTTCCCCTTTGTTTTCACCCCTTGGTCAATACGTACATACATGTTTTCCCATATTTGCCAGGGGCACATCATCTGAGGGTCAGGGAACGCATCACACGGGGCTTTACCCAAAAAATATTGCATTTCATAGGCTACCGCTATGCTGGTGACTCTACGAAGACAAAATAGGTCGATAAGCAGCTTCCGTCCGGGACGATACGGCGCTGTGCGCAAGAGACGTCGGAAAGCGGTGTCCATCGTAGCGGCCTAGGCCTTCTTTGTTACCTTGTTGTTAAACATGGAGTTCAAGGAGAAATGAACAAACACTCGACACAACACCGCTCACCGCTCACCGCTCGCCGCTCGCCGCTCATAATTCTAGTCCTCCTATAAGGGCATCGCGCACTCCACCACATTCAACATGGAAAGAAATTGTAACTATTCACAGTTTCGACACCTTAAGGAAGAAGGGTAAAAAGACACTCGTCGTCTTCATTTACTATCTCCCTTGCATGTCCACTCAGAACTGGTTGTTTTATGTACATACAGTACATCGTACATCTGCCAGGTAACTCAGGGCCTGCCGATTATCCACCGCGTCTGATCGCACACCCCTTTGGGTCCACCTGGCAGCACGGGGCTGGCCAAATCTCAAGAGCTTACGGAGTGTGCGTACATGCAGCGGTTTTTCATCTAGACGTGCCGTCCGGCTGATCTTTCCCCGGCCGGCCTGTGCAACATTACCTCTGTACTGCCGCGAGGTCTTACTGTCTCTTGCACGGGTAATGGTTGGTTTGTTGATACAGAAAGGAGCTGACGACGGGGCCGACGAGCCAGGATCGCCAGGATCCCCGTAACGGTACGGAGTACACTACTCAGCCGAAGACCTGTTCGCGCTCATCAGCAACTGCTGTGAGATGAGTGATGGTCCACAAATAGAAGGTCGAATGAATGCCGATGCCACAAACGATGCCCCCATTGTTGAATTGGGTAGATCTGATGAAAGTTATATTGGCTGGACCATGGCGAGTGCATTAGCTCTCCCGTCCACAAGCATAAATCAGCGACTAGGATTCCCATCGACCCGCTCGTTGATGCTGACCGTTCTGTGCGATGTGGGCGTGCAAAATGGTGCTACTACTCTATTTCCTCCGTAACGTGGAGCAGTGTGCAGTGAAACGATGCAGGGCTTCATGTGAAATGTACGTGGCCTGTCTGTCTTCTGCACTCCAGACCCCAAACGGCTGTACAGCCTACTCCGTGCTGTTTTCCGTATTACACATGCAGGCAAGGAAAGCCCCGCCAGCTCGTCGAAGCCGGGGAGCGGCTGGGAGGGACAGGCCATGTGAGTGTGCTAACCGCTGATAATGGCGAAGCGAGGCGATGGCTTTGCTTACTCCGTGTCCTTGGCTTCAAATTGCTTCCCATCGGGAAAGCCACCAGGCATACCGAGTACAATCATGGGGGAGGGGCCACGATGAACGGTAATAAGGCGCCTAGACAAAACGCCTTCAGCGTACAAACGACTGACAGGTTGGAAAGGCGTTGTTTGTTATCAGACTAACGAATACTACCTAGAGTTCAGGTGCCCTCGGGACAGCTACGATGTGAGCAGGTACGCTGGCTTTGGGCAATAGTAATATGAACGCTGATTAGCACGGCTCTGGAACAATCTTCGATTGCATAGGATCCGGGGTCAAGAGCCTGGTGGATAATGCGAAATGAACGAGCTACAGCAACTGCGGACTACGTAGTATTGTGCATATGGGCTCATGTTCATTGCACTGCGAGTATGATGCGCATATGTACTCCGTATGTATGCAAATACTATACATAGTCCTTCGCCAGTCATGGGGGCTTGACCACTGGACTGGACTCAGCCGAGTCACCGACTTGGGCTGTTGGTGGGTGCAAGATATGTACATGCAGTATTTGCAAGCAGGCATCAAACAAGATGAACCAGATCGGGCGGATGAAGTTGCCTATACGAGGCAGGGAACTCCGCGTCTTGTAGCCGATATCAAAACGCCGCAAGACCCGGGGTTCATTTTCTTACCCATGAGTGTCCATGTGAAGCTGGACGGGACGTTTCGCAGAACCATCAGGACAGCCGAGGAGCTCAACAAGGAAACAAATGACATTATGATTTCTTGGGCGGGATATGGTGGCTGAATCCAGGCCTCCAAAAAGATGGAAAGCTGGGTGTTGTGAGGGCAATTCGTTGGATGAGAAAGGCTCATGTGGGAGATTGAGTGACATGCCTGCTGACCATGTTATTGGTTTCGTCCATCCGAGGCAACTCTTTTCCCTTTCACTGCTACTAGTAGTAGTACTACTGCTGACGCGTGGTAGAAAAGTACAGAGACATCAGGGCCCTAATTCCTCGCAATGGCATGAGTGGAGTTTCGAGGCACGGGCTGGGCGGCTCAATGGCCTTGTTTCATGGACAAACACGAGAGGCTGGAGTTCCAATCCGGGGAAAGTCGACATGGCTCAATGCTCAGAAAGAAGATGCTTGGCCGGCTTTTGCAACAGCAAGCAAGCAAGCAAGCTGTATAATGCAAGCTGCCAACCGGCAATCACGTTACGGATACGTCAAAGTGTCCCTATGAGGGCGGGAAGTCAAGAAATTGATGCAAAAACAAAGCACAAGCAGGGTCAGGCTTCTTCCGGCGTATGTACAGACAATGTGCGTCGAGATCATGCACGAGATTGTCTGGCAAGTAGCTTCCCAGCCATGTCAGTTCATGTAGGAGAAGAGACGGGAGCATTTACCACCATGTTCCACGCTCCAAGCCGACGGAGAGGAGACGCCGGGCACAAGACCCCAGTTGCGATCTGAGTGTGCGTACATATGTATTATGTACGGAGTACATGATGTTTGGGGTGCGTGGGCGGGCTGCGGATCACGTTTGCAGACCGCTGCATTTTTGCATTTTGCCGCTTTCCACTCGTTCCCTTCTCTCCAGCCACTAGGTAAAATAGACCATGGCGCTTCTTTGGGGGTGTGAAGACGAGAATTCTACAATGTATTGACAAGGAAGCCAGACGGGGGAGGGGGCTCGGCAACAAGAGGTGGAGGACAGAAAAGGCTGGGCGGTTTTTTTCTTCCCGTGTGATCGAGGGCAAAATGGAGATGAATGGACCTTGACCTTTGGCCCCGGCCGGGGGTCCCTTGACGAACGGGACGCTTTGCTGCTTGCTGGGTGGTGGGTATCCGGGCCCTGGCCCTGGCCCTGTTGGCCTGTCGGGTGTGGTTCTTTGCCCTGGAGGAGGAAGGGGGCAAAAAAGGATAAGGATTCTTCTGCTAGGTGGTGACGGCTGAAGATAGTGGTGGTTGGTCGAGAGTCCGGTGTGGATGGGAAGATGGAGTTGATGGAGCAGGCGGAGGAACAAAGAGGACGAGAGGAGTCAAGAGCGATGAAACGGCGCGGCAACTTGACGAATTCGGCGACGCCAATTGACAGAAGTACGAGCATGCACCGACACCGACGCGCCTGGTGGATGTGGATGCGGGAATGCCACGTCAAAGGCGAGATGTCAATCCATTTTTGCATCACGCGGCCCTTGCGGCATGCCGTGAGCGAGGCCATGGCTCTCAATTGCGCTCTGCAGTCCAGGCCCATGGTCAGCACCGGCCGAGCCATTGCCATTGCCATTGCCATTGTTATTCAGAATTGGTTCGTAAAAGGCCCTTTGGCAGGGAAAAAAAAACAAAAAGACAATGGCCTTGATAATGGGTCATGTTGTAAGTCTCTGGATGTGGAGCCCATGTGACCTCCACTCACCGCATCTCACAGCATCGTGAACGTCAATGAAACAAACAAGACGCCAAAAAAGAAGATTCACATCACGCAAGACCACAACGGCGAGATTGTACCCCCTCATCTACAGAAGCCAGCCAAAACACCTCCCACGCGACAAGCAACAAACACCCGACACAGCACCCGCCCCGGTGTCCATCCCACATTGCCCACTGCAAACCTTGAGAAACCATCTCCATGCTCTAGGGTATCCTCCGTCACGACGATCAAAACAACAACAACAGCAGCAACATGAAAACATAGAAACAAAAACCACAACAATGCCCAAGCCACCACCGCCCTCGCTCCCCAAGCCCGCGCTCCCCCGCAACACAGCCTTCGACCCGTGGAACTCGTCGTCGACAGGCCACCAGCGCGCCGAGCAGCAACCCGGCACGGCGTGGCGCGCCTCCCGCACCGGCAAGCTCAACTCCCAATTCCAGTCCGGGCCTGCCGGCGGGCCCCGGACCCAGGACACCCGCGGCCCCGGGGTGCGAGGCGCGAGCGTCGCCGACATGCTCAGGACGCCCGGCCTGATGGGCGAGTCCCTCGGCGGCCGTCCCCCTCCCAGGCAGGACGATGCCGATGACGCCGCCGCGCCTCGGGGCATTTTCGCCGGGTGCGTCGTCTACGTCAACGGGAGCACGTATCCCCTCGTGTCGGACCACAGGCTGAAGCACGAGCTCTGCGAGAACGGCGCGCAGGTGAGCGTGCACCTGGGCAGGAGGAGGGTCACGCACGTCATATTGGGGAGGCCGGCCGGCGGCGTGGCCAAGGGCGCCGGGGGCGGGTTGGCCGGCGGCAAGATGGACAAGGAGATACGGAGGGTTGGCGGCGTAGGGGTGCGCTTTGTAGGGGTCGAGTGGTGAGTCTGGCCTTGTTTGTCCCCTCGCCCCGTTGCGTTGTATGGTGATTTCGTACTTGTGGGTGTTTTTTATTTGGTTCGGCTGTGGTTCAGGACGAGAGAGAGTTTTGCTAACGGCCGCCACAGGGTCCTGGAGAGTCTCAAGGCAGGCAAGAGGTTGCCAGAGGCGCGGTTTTCGAATGTCAAGGTTGCGGCCAGGGGGCAGGGAAGTGTATACGGATTGTCTTCTGGGAGTGGCGTTGCCGGGGGGACTTTGCCATGATGGTTCGGCTGGCAAGGAGGCGTATTCGCTACTACGGGGGTTCTACGGTTGGTCGAGTTGTGCATGTTTTTTTGTTCTTTTTCCTCCGTCATGAGTATACGAGACTGGCGTTGAAGGGCATCGCTTCGCAGGTGTTGCGGTTAGAATGGTTAGAATAGCGTGCAAGACACGAATATCAGGCCTCTTGTTTTCCATCAATGGTTGCCTTTTGTGCTGTTGCAAATGGCATGACGTGGCTTTACTTTTTGCCCGTGATGCCCCTGCACGAAGCTCCCCTACTTCTTTCTCATCACGTTGTATGTGCGCTGACAAGGCCTAGTACCAGAATACATGCTGCTTGAATTAGGAATTCCAACCCCTGGAACCGCCATACCGTGGCGCGCGACGTAAATGAGCATCTCCCCCTTTCTCAGCACCTACCGACCAGTCTCAATCTTAACCAGAGACTCCAAGGCATGTAGCACCTTCTCACCGCCAAAACTACCCATCATCGTGCAACCAGCAAATACGAAGCGGCAAAAAGGAGTCCTTCTCTCGTCATCATCTCCAGACCGCTTGGTACGTCGCCATCTCAGGGGTCCGCGTGCGCGAACCAAAACTCAACAAAACGTAGCCATTTTCACACTCATGCGTCACCGTCGTGGTCCCGCGTTTGGATGGTGTAACAGTCTTGGGTCCAGAGCATAGTGAGTATGCGAGGGAACTGTCTCACAAGGGTGCTGTGTCTGCTGGACCTCGTGGAAAATGTTGTACTGCTGGCGTCGTGTGAGCACGTTGGGGTTGTGGAACGTGGATAGCAATTCGATGGGATGAGAAAAGGAGAATGAATGGCCGTGGATACTTTGATGAAAATTGAACGTCTCATTTAATCATCAAAGTTGAGATCATTGGATCTAATGTCTTGGTCAGGCACTGGAGAATTGATGTCATGCATTGTGTGTAGTTTCGTATCAAAAAGAGGAATCCTGGAGTAGATGACCAAGAGCATCCCAAGGAAAAGAACGCAACTCTGCCAGAGGGGCCGGATACGACCACTGAATATACGCTAAGCTCGAACGCATTCGACACATCTATAGCTTCGACTTTAGTCCCTCAACAGCCGCGTGTTTCCCATCACTCCTCTCAAAGTACTCGCGTACTTTGGTCCTCGCAACCTCCACGACCGACGAATCCTCAACAGTACTCGGTATTGTTACCTTCTTGTCAAACTCGCCATGCACGCCATTTTCTACTAATTCGCGTAGAACTCGTCGCAGAGTCTTGCCCGAGCGAGTCTTGGGAATCATACCTTTGCCCTGGATGATACCTCCAAGCGACGCAATGGCTCCCACTTGTTTTCGTACCAAGGCTTGAATTTCAGAAGCAACCTTTTCATCGGGCACTGCTGATGCGGGATGGTCGGCCGTTGAAAGAGTGATGAAGGCAAAAGGCAGTTGACCCTTGATAGCATCTGGAATTCCAACAACACTGGCCTCGGCAACGAGAGGGTGAGACGTGATTGCTTGCTCAATGCCGCCTAAGTAAACATGTTAGCATATCGAGTGGTTTAAGGGCCCGTCACAATTCACAGGTCTCACAGGAGTGATGGGTAAATGGGCTTGCTTACCACTCGACAGCCGATGTGCACTAACGTTTAGCACATCGTCATTCCGGCTCATTACATGCACATAGCCATCCTCGTCAATCATGCCAGCGTCTCCTGTATCCAGCCACTTGCCATCAAATCTCTTCAAGTAACTCTTATAAAACCTCTCCTCATCCTCCCACAACGTTCGAAACGCCGTAGGTGCCAACGGCATGCCTAAGACAATGTTGCCCATGCTACCCTTTGTAACTTGACGACCCTCGTCATCCACAACACGGACGTCGAACCCAGGCATCGCCTTACCAGCACTTCCGGGCTTAATAGTGGCAGGTGGGTGGTTTCGGATTGACGAAGCTCGGTCCGCACCAGTGTGAGGAACTAAGGCACGGCCAGTTATGGGCGAACCAGATTCGCTGGACCACCAGTTGTCGATGACGTGTGCATCCGGAGCGCCGTACTTGTTTAATAGTTCTTGGTACATAGAAATGAGGGAAGGTTCAGAGCGCTCCCCTGCTAAGAATAATGATTTCAGGCTGCGGAGACCCCCTCGACCACCGATGGTGGATAAGAACTTGTTTTCCGGGTCATCCCTCCTGATAGCTCGAAGAGCAGTAGGTGCCGTGAACATCATGTTGACCCCGTACTCTTCCACGACCCTCCAAAACGCCGAGGCATCTGGTGTGCCAACGGGTTTGCCCTCGTAGAGGACGGTGGACGCGCCAGCTAACAATGGCGCGTAGACAATGTATGAGTGGCCAACAACCCACCCAATATCGGATGCTGTAAAGGCAACGTCCCCAGGCCCATGAATGTCGAAGAGATAACTTATCGAGAGATTAAGCCCCACGGCGTGACCAGCAGCATCTCTCATGACACCCTTGGGCGCACCAGTTGTGCCAGACGTATGGATAATATAAACGGGGTCAGTACTCGCAACAGGCACGCAGTCGGCCTTGATTTGCCTAGCGCGGGCACTCCTCACGACCTTTTGCCATGTAGCTTGACCGCTGTTGCGATCAGGATTCCACCTAACCTGCGGCCGTTGCCAGATAAAGGTCTTCGGAGGTTTGTGCGGTGAAATCCTGATGGCCTCTTCCACTAGCGGCTGATAGGCAATAGGCGGCTTATTTCCATCGATTCCGCATGATGCCGTTAGTATAGCAACAGGCTTGCATGCCTCGATGCGCTGTGCGAGAGCATTGGGGGCAAAGCCGCCAAAAACGACGGCATGGACGGCACCGAGACGGTTCACTGCATACATGCCTATTAAAGCAGACGGAATCATCGGCACTGAGTGATTCAAGCGTTAGCACTTGGCCTGCCCAGCTCGCGTTGCCATGTCTCGGTGCCAACTTACTATACAGCATGACAACATCTCCCCTCTTGACGCCCTCGGATCGCAACACACCGGCAAGAACTTCAACCTCGTCGAGCAACCTGCGGTACGAGTATGTCTCCTTGGTCTTGGTCACGGGGCTGTCGTAATAGATGGCGACATTATCGCCTCGACCGGCCTCCACATGTCTATCAATACAGTTGTAGCATGTAGATATCTCGCCGCCGGGGAACCACTCCCACGAATCGTGGGTTACGCTTCCATCCTTCAGAGCTCGTCGTGTGTGACGCAAGGTCTCGGTCGGCTTTTTATGCCAGTGCAAGTGTTCGGCTTGGCGAGCCCAGAATTCCTCTGGCTTGTCTAGACTGTGCCGCAGCACGTCGTCTTGCAGGTGTGAGCCTGCTTCCCTCGAGGCCATGGTATGGCTGTGTGTGCGGAGTTGCAGTGCAGGAGCAAAGGAAATGAGACTTCGGCAGCTGTGAATTTATAATTGCCACCTGGCTGCCCTTGTGTCAGATCCACGGGATAGCAGTGCTGCGACCATCAGCGATGCGGAAATAACTTTGATCCCAGGGCCGGGCCTCTCAAGTCTATTTATTGAGAATAATTTGGGAGAAATCCAGAAATGCTCCCTTTTTACCCTCGGTTAAAGAGGCTGATGATCATCATGTTTGGTCCGGTCCATCTTACCGACGGCAGGAGCTTTGCAGCTCCCGAGTCCCAAAGGCTAGTGGGGTCTCGATCCCCGGAACCTTGCTGCCCCACGCTGAGATCTCTGAAATTCCGCTTCTCCGGGGGACCAAAGGAGCCGAAATCGCCAAATCGCGTTCCCTCCACTCCCCCGCGGTACCGAGCATCCCATGCCAGTGACTATAGGGTAGCCTCGTCACAAGAAACCTAACCACGATCACTTCTCTAACCGAATAAACAAATACATGTCGGGAACAACCCAGGTGAGCCGCAAATGTACCAAGAGAACACAGAATTCCAAATCAAACTCGAATGCAAACTTCCTACCAAAAGTGACCTAGTAGATGAAGCAATTCGTCCAGACACCCAGCCTTCATTGCTGATTACCATCGAAAACCAACTCTACATATCCACCAAACACTACATACAGAGTCAGGTCCGTCTACACGGCTCCTAGCAGACCTACACTTCGTACATTCAAGATGGTTTCTATCTTGGGCATGATTGACAAACCACATTTTTTTTTTGCACTCCATATCCCTTTGAATGTGCGCAGGCCCAATTGGGGTAGCGGACCAGGGTTCTGGCCAATAATAAAAGCTGATGAAAAAGGATACATAAACTTACTAGTAAATTATATGGGAAATCAGGTACCTTATATCTTTAAGATACAAGTAAATACAAAATATCACTAGCTGTTTACCTGTATCAAAAAGTATCTTGAAGTATCATAAAACAGTGGGTCAAATACATCAATTGGACCTGCGCACATTCAAAGGGATGAACTGCTGCACTCCCATAACTCATAGCTGTACGGAGTACGGAGTACATACCACCCACTAACCGTACTCTGAGGCAACAACTCTTTGCACACCACCATGTACGCGGCCCGAGAAAAAGCAGTGTTGAGTCTTGATGCCTCCCACCGTAGCCATCAAACATGAATGAAATCCGAAAAACCTCGCTTATTCTAACAAGCCACTGTTCTACGGAGTGCATTCGAACCACCCTGCCCCGAGCCCGATTGATACACCCGTAGCACTCTGGCTCGTTCGTGCCACGATGAAACGTGCTCGCCACGAGCATCACGGAGGAGCACGCCGTCACACAGTACCCATGTATCTCTGAATTAAACATCCAAAAAGTGTGCAGCGGCAAAGGCGGCAAGGACTCCGTACAGGCCTCAAATTCAGCCCACTGAGCTCGAAATACGACGTACGCCAGTGACGAAACATATTGCAAGACATGACCAAGGAGGGCCAAGACAAGGCAGTCACTGAAACGTGAGTAATAAGACACTGGACCAAAAGTAGCCCCTTGACCTACAATGCCGAAGTAGCCTCTTGACTTAGAAATTAGAATGCTGAATCTAGTATCCTTCAGAGTAAG